CCAGCCTGGGCTGTAGAGTGACATACGCACGCACGCACGCACAGGTCCAGTTGCTAGGCTTGGAAACTGCCTCATTAATACCCCAGACTAGTTATTTTAGCTTTTCCTTTCCTTGTTTCCATTTATGAAATGTTCTTAATAACAGAAGAAGAAAGTTGAAAAAGTGGGCAGAAGTGTTTGGAAAGGCTGTCGCTCTACAGTGAACAGGCCTCGGCATTGTTTTCTTCATTGCCACTCCTACCCGTGTGGTTACCGCTGGCGCTCTGGTTTTTCTCAACTCCACACGTTCTATTTATTTGCTGTTCCTGTCCTCAAAGTGAAGCTCATTTGCTAGTATCTTTAATTTAAAAATCCCGGGTAGCAAACTTTACCATGCACGTTTTTAAAATTTGTTTCCTTTCCATGCACACGGGTGATTTGCCTGCATAGAGATCTGCACGCCATTTGCATGCCTGACACCAGCAGCAGCCAAAGGATATCTCCTGGGACTGGAGTTACAGGGGGTGGTTGTGAGCCACCTTGTGGGTGCTGGGGAATCGAACCTGTGTCTTGTGGAAGATCAGCCAGCGCTCGTAACCACTGAGCTGTCTTTCCAGCCCCATACCATGCGTGTAATTTAATTTTTGCATGCAAATGGAAAAGCCTGTTCTGCAGGCCAGCTAAATGTGGAGACAGGCTTGTTTGTACTGAATGAAAATAACCACCATCACTAGGGCACATGGCATCTTCTTTCTGCTCACGCTGTACGTGTCTTCTTTTCACTCCCAGATTCCATTTGCATGGACCTGGTGAGGCTGAGCGTGGATGTTGCCGAGGAGTTGATAGCTTTCCTTTCCTATAGAAGCTGAAGGTTCAGAGGGAAGATTAAAGAAGTGTTTGTTATCTCTCTGCACAGGCCTGATAGGAAATTCTCAGAGGCTTTTGGGGTAGACATAACTCTGTGTGTGTGTGTGTGTGTGTGTGTGTGTATGCTTGTTCTGTCCCCTTCTTTTGCAGTCTTTGTATCTTGGTTTAAAATGTTTAGCTCCAGATCGGTTGTACTCTTCTGGTTTAAAGAGAATTGTTTCCAGAGCAAAGTATAAGAATGGGAAGATGTTGCCCAGATTTAACTAAATGCTTCCCCAAGAGCACAGAACTTTCCAGACTGTGATGAAGATCAGGCACAGGACACATGTGAGGAGACAAGATGGAGGCCTTAAATGTGCCCAGCAGACAGTAAGCTGGGGCCCTTTCTTGAGGGCTGACGTTGCTCATATTTTATAGTTTCCTTTTAGAAGTGCCCTCAGTTGGTAGAGTGCCCAGCTAGCGTGAACAAAAGACCCTGGGTTTGATTCCCCAGTGCAGCAAAAAAAAAAAAAAACCAAAAAACAAAAAACAAAACAGGCATAGCAGTACACATCACTCGGGAAATACAGGCAGGGGAATCAGTAGTTCAAGGTCATTTTTGGCTATGTAGGGAATTTGGGGCTAGCCTGGGCTTTGTGAGACTAGTTTAAAAAAAAAAAAAAAAGCAAAATGTCCTCAGTGGGAAGTAAGTGTGTTTTTTGCTGTGTTTGCTCCTGTTTTTAAAGCAAACTTCCTTTAGATGGGTTAATACTTAGAGAAGGAAGACAGGATAGCAGAGGAAGGAAGCAGTGTTCATTCCCACCAAGTTCAACACGCGAGTCTCACTAGATTTTTAAAAACCGACAAGATTACGTGCATTTAAGACACACAGGTTAATTATTTGATATGCACATTTGCATTGCAAGCTGGTTCCCACACACGCCGATTACCCATCATCACCTCCCACCCGAGGTGGCTTTTGTTGTGAGAATAACTTGTCAGGCCCTACTCCCGTCACAACTTTCAGGTAGTTGGTAGAGTTTTGTTCACTGGAGTTGCACATTGCTAGTTAATCAGATCCTTGTAACTTATTCATCTTTTTTGTTTTTGTTGATATTCTCGGTTGGATTTTTAAATTCTAGGTTTATTGGCCCATGCGCATGGCTGTTTTGCTGCATGTATGTGTGTGCATCATAAGCACGTCTGGCAGCTGCAGGGGTCAGATGAGGGCATTGGAAACCCTGGAATGAAAAGTCATAGACCACTGTGAACTGCCATGTGGGCGCTGGGAATCGAACCGGGGTCCTCTGGAAGAGCACCCAGTGCCCTTACCTGCTAAGCCATCTCTCCAGCCACTGTTGTTACTGTGAAGACAGGGTCCTCCTGTGTAGCCGAGCTGGCCTCAAGCTCAGGATCCTCCTTCCTTGCCCAGAGCTGGCCTTGTAGGTATCTGTAAGAAATACCTTGCCAGCTTATTTACTTATTTAACAGTTTGCTTGGTCAGCCTTTTCAAACACTGTTACTTCCTGGCTCGGTTTCCCCTCCCCCCTCTGAGCCAACAAATAAAAGTTATATTCATTAGCAAAGTTCCTGCTATTGTTGTCGTTAACATTTTGGAAAGAGGTTCGTGTGTGCTTGTGTGTGTGTGTGTGTGTGTGTGCTTGTGTGTGTGGTGTATGTGTGTGGTGTGTTTACACCTCATTTATTTTTATTTTATGTTTCTTTCATGTGTATGGGTGTTTTGCCCGCATGTATGTTTATCTGTGTACCACATGCATGGCCAATACCCACGCGTTATGTTCATGGGTGTTTTGCCTGCATGTATACCTGTCTGTATGCCACATGTATGGCTGATACCCACAGAGGTCAGACTGACACTATTCCAAGTTGGAACTGAAGTCATAGATGGTCGTGAGGCACCGTGTGGGTGCTGGGAATCAAATCGGGGTCCTCTGGAAGGGCAGCCAGTGCTGTTAACTGCCCAGCCATCTCTCCAGCCCCCTCATTTCTTTGCACGCTCGATTAGAAGATGAGGGATGATAAGAACCGGGTGCGAGAGCGTTAGTTCCAGAGCAGAGGGAAGGCGGCAGGGCTTGGGGAGCTGTTCCCCTGTTCTCATGTGAGTGTGAGATGCCCTCCACACTCGAACTGTGGGGAGGTCTGGCTGCTAGAAGGAAAGCACTAGGGGACGGTCCTTGGGAGATGCAAGCCCCGGCCATTTCCTGAAGAGCTCTCTGCTTTCCAACTGCGGCCTTGGAGCCCGCCCGCCACCAGCCACCTTCCGCTGCCATTTGCTGATTGGTTCTGTGCCCTCCCTCACCAGGATGGTCTGTTTCCCCTCAAACCACAAGCCAAAAGAAACATTTCCTTCCTTACTGCTTCTTGTTACGTTTAATCACGGGGCTGGGAAAGCGCACTTCCCAGCTGTGTTTCCCAAGAAGGAGTTTCCTGCAGTCATCAGCTGCAGCGTGCTAGGTGGAGACTGACTCATAACTAAACAGAATGTCTGCCGTCCTGGCATACCTGTACCCTTACACTAAACAGATACCCCTCTTCCCGGATGTTGAAGCCTTCTGCCTCCCACTTCTTGCTTCCCACCTCTCCTCTGTGCCTTCCTATCACCCGGCCTTCCTCTGCCCCACGTCTCTAGCCTGTTATTCTCTATCTCCTTTCACCGATGATCAGATCAGACTGGGTCTGGGAAAAGCAGAGGCCAGCTCTCTGCTCTGACTCTGTCTTCTCTAATAAACTTCCTTCAAACCACCTTTGTGTTTAGGCCACCTCCCCACAGCTGATCTCACATGGCTCCGTTTCCTACAGCTTTCGGGAGTGGCAGAGAAATAGTCTAGCTGTGAGGCTGGTATGACTAATGTAGCCAAACCTAATTCTAGTCATGGCGACACTGGATGACATCACTGTACAGCCTTTCCCTGAACCTTCTGTGGGTGCGGACCCTGTTGGTTTGATTAAGAATTTTGTTAAAAGTGTACACTCTTCATCCTAGAAAGCCTCAGATGCAGATTCCCAAGAGGCCAAGATGAGAAGAGAGAAACATCCATCCTACTTAGTGGTGTGGAAGTCTTTAGGTCTGCTCAGAGAATGAAAGTGTCGCCCCCACGAGGCTGATGGAGTTCCCGGGGAAGGGGAGATGAGGGCTTGAGGAGAGCGAGAGCGTTTGAATATTGCGCTCTTGTGCTTGGGAGAAAATGGGACAGGAGATGGGGAGGTTGAGGGGGAGGGAAAGATATGAAAATGGAGACAGGGGAGGGAGGGGACCGAAGCAGTGAGGGGAGGGTGTGCTTCATTTCGTGAGAGCACACAGGCTGATGGGAAGAGCCAGGCTGAGAGGAAGGGTGGCCATACCCTGGAGGAAAATCAATACAGAGTAATGTAAGTTTCCTGTGAAGGCACTAAATGGGCTTTTGTGGGTAACCATTCTAAGTGACATCGTTTCTGTGTTTTTGGGGGGAGGTGTAAGTCAGGTTCCATTGAAGTGATTTACAAGTGAGCCTTTCCATCACGGCTGCTCGGCACTTAAGACCCCCAAGGCTTTATTGGTTTGGCCAGTCATTTCACAAAGCGGGAGGAGAGGAGAAGGTGCTGTGGATTGCGTGGGCCCACTCCATTTCGGGGCTCCCCCGCTACCAATGTGAGACAACTCTGATTTCACCATCTGGGTCTCACCCACATACTTCGGAGGCGAGCAGAGCTGAAGGCGTGTTCCCGGTCCTGGGGTCTGCTGATGTGTGCTGTCCAGGCCGGTGGTGCTAGCGGCGCCTTAATCTGCAGGAAAGACAGGTGTCTCCAGAAAGAGCCACCCTGCTCAGACCATGAGCCACCCGAGCTTCTTTCCTACGTCATCCCCAGTTTTTAAAACTTTATCTTAATTTTATGTTCATCGGTGTCTTGCCTGAGTGTATGTCTGTGCGAGGGTGTCAGGTCCCCTGGAACTGGAGTCACAGAGAGGTATGAGCCACCGTGTGAGTGCTGGGCATCGAACCCGGGTCCTCTGCGAGAGCAGCCAGTAACTTGCTTTTCTTTAACAAAGCCAAGCTCTGGCCGATGACTGACTGTTTAGCAAGCTTCTTTTGGCTTTCTTCTGTGGACATGGTGCCTTAACCAAACTTGAGCTATTCAAGCCTGACTGACTGCCACTCTTCCTTCTTGTATTTTAGGTACTGCTGGGATTTTCAGCCCCAAGGTGAGTGCGCCTTGACCGTAAGTAGCTTTCTATTAAGACTGTGTCTGTGCTTTCCTGTCTCTTCTAAGTCTCTCCACACAGTACCGCTATCCATTTCTGAGCAAAGTCGGTGGAGTGCTTAATTAACCTTCACCCCACTGGGCCCCCCCTGCCCTGCTACGAGGCGCCATGCCTTGTATGGCTGCTGGATTCTTTGACGGAAGCGGAGCGACAACATGCCTTTCTTCTTTGAGTTTTGTTAGATGCCAACAGGATCCTGCAACATCCAAACAGAACGGTGGCCAAGTCCATAATAAAACCCCTGGGCGGGTTCCAACTCGGCTAATCCTTCATTTGCCCCAGAAATAAACCCGAGTGTGTTCTAGCCTCCATCACGGTGTCCTTCCACGCAGACCGTCTGGCAGCAGAGAAATGTCAGACACGGAGCCATGTTGGAATTCCCACCAGAACGGTTGCTCTCGCATTTTAATATGAGCCTCGCCGCAGCCTCGGCGCTTCTAATTGCTTCCCCGCCATTGTTTCCCTGCCTTTTCCTGATGAACCCAGCATCTGGCATGATTCTGAAAAGCACGCCAGACAGCTATGCGCAAAATTAAAAATAAAGGATGGGATTAGAACACATTTTGTAAAAGGTTCCGAGACGGAGCGTTTTCTGAAACTTCAAATACTCGGAGCGGGGTGTGTGGCCCCCTGGTTGAGCATGGGGGCTGTGGCAGCATCCCGAGCCAGCGTTCCTTATCTCGCCTCAGAAGACACAGGGCCTTTCACTCTCTCAGAGAACCGCAGCGTTGCCGCACAGTTACGGAGCGCATCATGACTTGTTTGGCACCATGACCTTCGAAACACCAGACCATTTCCAGGACCGAGTACGGTTTTACCAGATCTGTGTGCCCCATGCCACCGGGTCTCAACGCTTCCAGGAACTTAGTGTTGAGTGAGGGTACTAGGGTTTCTTAAAGTGGGTGTGGGGGTGGTGTGGTCTGCCTGTCTGTCTGCAAGCCAGAGACTGAGCTTGGGTGTCTCTGTTGTATTTACTGAGGCAGGTTCCCCCCCTGATGCTGAAGCTCATGCCCCACCCCAGCTTTTACAGGGGTGCTAGAGATCTGGACTCTGGGTCCTCACACTTACACAGTAAGCACTTTGTCACTGAGCTGTCCCGTTGGCCCATATGGTACTAGTTTTACTAACATTTTATTTGCCTACTTTATATGTTGTTATAGCGTATTTTCAGTCTACGTAAGACTTTCTTTAAAAGCCAGCTTTTTTTATGTTTTGAGTTTCTGAGACAGGGTCTCTTTACACTCCCTGGCTGTCCTGAAACTCACTGTATAGGCCAGGCTGGCCTCAAACTCATACAGATTTCCCCAGTTTCTGCCTCTCAAGTCCTGGGATTAAAGGCATGTGCTGCAACACCCAGCAAGAGTCAGGCTCAGTAAATATAAGGATCATGTTTTAATATTAAAAAGATGTCATATGTTTTGAGAAGGTTTTGTAAATACATCTATGTTAACGTCAGCCTCCTGTGTAATCCCGTGACACGATTACTGCACTGAGAACCTCGATGGAGTCGTAGAGAGCTGGTTCTGTAGAGTGTGAAACAACACTCTCAGACTCGCCCCGTAGTCCTGGGTTTAACAAGTGTTGACCGAAAACCACAGGGGCAGGGCACGGTGGTAAGATGTCAGAGAGGAGGGGAACTGTGGGCGCAGAACTCATGTCCTAAGGAGAAGGGATCAATTAGTGTCAGAAACATGGTATAGAAATGTGTTGAGAAGAGAAGAAAAAAATATTTTTGGAGCTCGGCAAGGGAGAGGCTCAGAAACTGAACACGGGTTCAGTTCCAGATTCTTAAGAGGTGATGCCTTGGTCACATCCAACACACAAGGACAAAAAAAAAAAGCATAGCAAAACCATCGCTCATCAGGAAGTAATGAGGAATGTTCAGCCAGAGAGCCCAATAGTCTTGCTTTTGCTACGGACATGGTGGGAGGGGAGGGGCATCTTCTACTTGATGGTCGATTAATTCTTGTAATAGTGACTGGTCTAAGGTAGTACCCGGAAAGGATGAAAAAAAAGAGGCATGCACAAGAAGGTGGCAAAAGTTTTGTCTGTTTGTTTGTTTTTGAGATAGGATCTCGCTGTGTAGACTGTGCTGGCCTCTCACTCAGAGGTCTGTCTGCTTCTGCCTCCCAAGGCTAAGACCATACCCAGCACGGAAGAAGAGTTTAGAAAGACCTAGAAGACTAGGTAATATTGGGATGATACCAGTGAGAAAAGATAGACGAGATGAGCTCAATACGTTGTCTAAGAGTCTGAGTCAAAAATTTGAGAAATTGTTTTTAATTAAAGGTCTTATTCTGTAGCTGGGCTAGATTTGGACTAACTGTGTAGCTCGGGGTTTGCTGGAATGTGCTGTTTTTATGCCTCAGCATCCCCAGGACCGAGATTATCGATATGGACCATGTTCGGCCTTTCTTAGCAGCGTGTTTGTAATAACAACGCCAATTCTTCCCATACATTTCACCCTCACGTTGTTGGCCCGCTGTCACCTTCCTCGGTGATTCATCCGTGTGTGACAGAGCTTCTCCTAGGGAGATACTGCACTCATGCCTACTCACGGCAGACAGGGAGCCCATAACAGACCAAATCAAGGAGACCCACCAAAGTCCAGCTTGGAGAGCCATGGGTTTTATTGGGGTCACTTCCAGGAATATAGGTAAAGGGTCACTTCCAGGAGCAGAAATGACCCAAGGCCCACCCCAGCACAGGTGACAACTCACAAAGCTGGAAACCTGGAGCACACTGCACAGCTTGCAGGCAGCTCAACAGGCTGGAGAGCGTCCTTTCCAGGTGTTTCGGTCGGTCTAAACCCCTTCCAGGCAGCTGGGCCGCACCGAATCTTCTTGGCACCCTGGCTTGTCTGAGAGTCTTGTCTGCAGCTTGGCTTATTTCCTCTTGGAGGGAGGGGCCTAGTGAATCTGGTCAGTTTCAGGGACTGCCTGAAGCTACTTTGAGTTGCTTTAAGGAGCTTCCCTGCAAGATGAACATTTTCAATCCCAGAGGAAGTTCTACTTTATATATCACCTAAGAAGAAAATACAATCTTAAGAATTATTACCTTAATGTAGAGGAAGCATAAATGGAACCGTTCTTTTTTTGTGTGTGTGCTTTAAAAACCATTTATTCATCCCTCCCTCTATTCATCCATCCATCTTAGTGTGTGTGTGTGTGTGTGTGTGTGCGCGCGCACGCACACACACACACACACACACATGTGCCATGGTGGAGGTCAGAGGACAACTTGCAGGAAATGATTCTTTCCTTCCACCATGTGGGTTCAGTGGGTTGAACTCAGGTCATCAGGCTTGAAAGCAAGCTTCTTACCCGCTGAGCCATCTCACCAATAAGAAAAATTCTTTTAATGAGGTTAAATATAACTGAAGAACATGGAAAAGCTTGGTTTTAGGACTTTAGATAATCTCAGTAATACAAGTCCTGCTTACACTGAAAACTGTTCTCGTCTCCCTTCTCCTGTTTCTCCTCTTCCCCTTCCTCTTCCTCTCCATCTTCCTTCTCTCTTCTTTTCCCTCCTCCTTTTCCCGTTCCTCCTCCTCCTGTCCCTCCACCTGCTCTTCTTCCTTCTTCTCCTTACCTCCTCCTTCTCCCTCCTTCTACTCTCCCTCTCCCTGTCCTTCCTCCTCTCCCCTTTCCTGTCCCTCCTTCTCTCCCTCTTCTTGGCCCTCCTCCTGTCCCTCTTCTGTTCCTTCTTCTCCTCCTGCCCTTCCATCTGTCCGTCCTATTGTCTTCTCTCTTCTCCCTCCTCCTGTTCCTCCTCGTCTCCTCCTCCTCCCCCTGCCTCTCCCTCCTCCTCCTTTCCCTTCTTTTTGTCATCATTAGTATTGTGTGTGTGATGCTGGAGATTGAGTCCAGGGCCTTGCATATGTCACCGAATTACCTACCCAGCAAAAATAAATGAACAAACAAACAACAACAGCAACAAAGCATTTTTTTTATTTAAATTTTCATTTAGCTATAAAGGAACGCTGGGAGGTGTTTGCCATGGAACTGTTTGTGATGCAGCCATCAGAATCTAAAAAGATGATATTGATCGCCTGTCTAAATAACAATCTGCTTTGCCCTTCAAATTTGATGACAAGATCGTTTTAAGTCAAGGCACAACTCGATTTCCTCCATTTTGTTTCACTTTCTCCTTTTATAAGATGAGTTAATTATTGGCAGTTTTAATGCAGTAAATCAAAATTTCATGTAGAATGAAATTTCCTGTACAATGTATACAATTAGAAATGTATTGCCAAAAATTTTTTTTGAACATTAGTTGAATATTCTGTCATTGACTCAAGAGTCTACAACAAACGCCCTAACACTTAAATAAAAAAATTTGGGTGAGCCAGTGAGACTATTATAACTATATAACACTGTCATATTTTATGTATTTGCAATTTATTTGTTTTCTTCGTTTCTTTGGTTTGTTGTTGTTGTTGTCCAAAGACCAGGGTATACTTGATCTCACTGTGTAGTTGACTCTAACTGTGAGCTCATGATCCTCCTCCCAAATCCTTGGGTTATGGCATATGCCGCCATGCCTGGTTACCAAGGCCATAATTCTCTACAGTCATCACTCATTGGCATTTTGGTCATTTATAGAAGTGGGCTGTGAGGTCTCTCACCAGCTGGAACATCCTTTGACCAGCCATATCTGCGCTGAGGTTCCTGAGAAGACTATCCAGTATATTTCACATGTAAAGATTCATTTTACTTTTTAATTGGTATGTGCCTGTGAGCATACACACCTCTGTGTGAGTGTCCATGGAGGTCGGGAGGGTGAATGGAACTCAGGTCCTCCCAAAGCAGCATCAAGCACCCTTAACCCCTGAGCCATCTCGTCCACCCCTCTAGTACATATTGAGATGAACCTAAGTCTGCTTAGTAAAAATTTAAAGAATCGTATTTTGAAATGCCAAGTCTCTACCCACGTCGAAG